TTTGTTCAGTGATTCATGAATCAGGTAGCCTCCCATCTAGCAAGTAGAAAGACACTGTAAGAGCTATACAAAATGGAAGGTTTTTGTAGTTACAGAGAAGATAGGACAAGGTTATTAGCAAAATAAAGGAAAGGTTATTTTGGGCAAAGTCACCTTCCCTTAGGGGAAAGCTTGGAACCTTAGTATGCAGATTACCTCATTGGTGCTGACCAGGAAATTATGTATTGATTGCTTGATATTCTACTTTTTGGAGGGGCCAGGACTGTAATTCAGGCCCCAGTGACTAGGAATTGAGTGTTCAAGGACCCAGTGACAGGGATTTTGTAGTTAGGGAGAAAAAAGCGGGAGCATAGGCAGCTTTCTCTGAAGATGTGGGTTTATTTGTTACAAGCAATTCCATGTGAAGATGCATTAATGAATGGCTAAGATAGAACAGGATAGAAAAAAAAATCTTGCAAGAAGCCACTAGACAAAACCTATGCTAATTTTAGTACTGAGATAGTTGGAGAGAACAGATTGAAATGAAGACATTTGGAATATAAATCTGGAAAAGAAAGCCATTTTCACTGAAATCTCATGATATGGCTGCCAATCCCAATTTTCAAATTTACAAGAAGCTGGAAAATCTTAAATGCCAGTGTCTGGGAGAGCAGACAGTAAACATGAAGTCTCTGCTCACAGGTGTGTTAACAGAGAGTGCAGTAGCTAATCTCTTACAGGGAAATCTTTGCCCAACTGGGAATTCGCAGAATATGATCTCTGGAAACTTGACATAAACTGAAAGAGATCCTGGTTAAAAGAGATTGACAACGATTATACCGCCTCCTTTCCTGCTTCATAAGCCACGTCGTCTGTGCCTGACCTTAAAAAGACTGGACACTAGGGCCCTCCCTGGTGGCACAGCCGATTATAGCACAGCACTAAGAAGCTAAAGCCCATTTCAGCATGAGTTCGATCCCTGTCCCAGAGGCCCTGGAGGTGATCCACATGGTGCGGCAGCCCTCTCCTGACCTGACCGCGGCTCCCCTCAGCAGTGTACTTTGTCAGTCAGCCTATTCTGCTCTCCACTCTGTCTCTGGTGAATCCTCTCATGGCCCCTGCACCTCTGGCCTGGGCCCCAGTTCTGCATGCATAAATAAATAAATCTTAAAAAGAAAAAACGGGGGCCCTCCCTGGTCGCGCGGTGGGTTAAAGCACTGCA